ATGAAATGTAATAAAGAATTTATATCATTATGAATCTGAAATACGATTTTCATATAATGGAAGTTGTCTTTTATCTGAGTATTGAGGATAAGATTGTTTATATTATTCTTAATATATATCTGTTGATTTTCTATATTCTGCTTTAGGTTTTCTATTTGAGATTGTAGTTTTTTATTGATCCTAACTTGTTTATTGTTTTCGTCAATTAAATTTGAAGTGTCCGTATTCAAGGTTCTTAAGGATTCCATTATTTGTTGCCTATCTTCTTCGTCCATTGTTCCCGAAATAATTTTTAATGTACTTCCCATAATGTTTATTAGTCCTCTTTTTTCCCTTTTCTTAGGTAATATAGATTTCAATTTGATGTCCAATTCTTTAAAGGTCCTTGACAATGTTTTATAAATGCTATCGTTTATGGAGTCACTTGGCAAAGTTTTATACAATAAATTAACATTTTCCTCAACTGTAAGTTTAGCTACTACTAATTCGGTGATGTTCACGATATGTAAAATCTTGATATAGTGGTCTATTAGCTTCTTTTCTCCAACCTTGATGGGCAAATAGCCTTCATTTTTGTCAAAATCAACAATTTCTAATTTCGCCGTTGCGTAGGATAGGAATATGAGGGCCAGTGTCAGTTTCATTTCTACAAATATAACCGAATTTATTTGGGAAAAATTAATAATATATCATACGAAATTTAATTATTATTAGTATCTAATGCGTTTCCTCTTCTAGAAGTTTGCTGAGTTGGAAATACGATACTATCAGGATTTTGAAATCGTTTCCTTTTCTTTACATGTGTTTTGTAATATATATGATTGGAGTTTTCGTCTTTTAAATGATTATCGTCAACCTTAGTTCCACTATCTTCCTAAATTCAAGATAATTTTTTCCTCCTCGTGTCTCCTTGATATAATTAATGCCGTCCTCGATGGGTATGTCATTAGTTCTACTCTCATTTAATTTTGTGATTTTAAGTTCTTTCTTCTTTACGAGTTTTTCGTGTATTTCATTATATTCCTTCTCATTTATTTTACCATTCACAAAATCAATAGGTTTCATATTGGTAGTGCTATGTATAGTTTCGTTATAATAACCATTAATTAGAATCATTTGTTCTTCAATTGGAATATGTCTCATAGTATGTTTTAGGATTCTTAGATGTTCATTTATGGTATTATGGAGTCTTTCAACATCACTGTTACTATTATGATTTAAACTTGATGTAAAATGGATTTCAATATTTTTGTCCTTCAAAAATTTATTCATTCCCTTTGATTTCATTCCCAGTTCGTTATCAGTTATAATCTTTTTTATATGTCCATACGTACTGATTTATCTCAAAATAGCCTTCCTGAATTCGGGGTCTGATCTGTTCTCTATTTTAGTAATAAGGGCAATCTTCGTGAACTTATCTATCATTGTGATAAAAAGGGATTTATTGATAGAGTAAAATACATCCATATGAATTATTTCGTTGGGCACTTTCGGAGTTTCTGAAATCATGTATGGTATTGACTGAGGCTTTCTTTCATATTTAGCTAAATTGCAAATCTCGCAATTATTTATGAATTCAGTTATTTTTTCTTTTAATTTTGGATAGTAGTATGTGCTTTTTATTTGCGCAAAATTTTCGTCTATACCTCTATGATTATTTCTTGAATGTTCTGCCGATATTATATTATGTAGATTTTCCTCGTTTATCACGTCAATTAATTTATTTAAACATCTGGTTATTATTAGTTCTTTATAAAATTCTCGGTGAACTTCTTCGAAAACCTCAAATAATTCATCTGTCAAGTAAACAACGTTGTGTTTACCTTCATAAAAGTGATTTGAAATAATTGTTTTAACAAAATCGTTATCGAAGTATTTGGCTTTAATAATCTTGCGGTTTGAGTTGTGAATTTTCATTGTTTTTATAGAAGTTGATCCTGAACATCTTCGTTCTATTATAATTTGGTTCTTAAAGAAATTTATGGGTCTTTTACTAATATTTATTAGTTTTTCTGACTCCTGCTCTTCAATATTATGGATTTCTATTCGACTTAAACAGTCGGCTACTTTGTTTAAGTGGCCCTGTTTGTAATATATTTCGTAATCATACTCGCTTATTTGCATCCTCCATCTCATTAGTTTAGAATTTGGTTCTTTTAAATTGTTCAACCAGACAAGAGGTTTGTGATCTGTAAACAATTTAATCTTCCTTCCGTAGACATAAGGTCTAAATTGTTTAAGGCACCACACAATTCCTAAGCATTCTTTCTCTATGGTTGAATAATTAATTTCGTGCTCGTTTAGTGTTCTGGATATGTATGCTATGGGCTTGTCGTTCTGAGACAGAACTCCTCCTATAGCTACGTTACTAGCATCTGTCGTTATTTCAAATGGTGTATTAAAATCTGGATATACAAGTATGGGGGCTTCAGTTAACTTCTTACTCAATTCATTAAATGCGGCAATATAATCTGGGTTTGTAATATTAATGCTGGAATCTTTTTTTAAACATTGTGTCATTGGTTTTGCTATATGAGCGTAATTTTGTATGAATCTCCGGTAGTAACCGGTCATTCCTAAAAAGGATTTTATATCTTTCTCTGTTTTAGGAATTGGTATGTTTTTTATAATTTCAACCTTCTTTTTGTTAGGAAAAACTCCTTTCTCATTTACAATATGACCAAGGAATTCTACCTCTTTTCTTAGAAATTCACATTTTTCTAATTGCACTTTAAGTCTTGCATTTCTCAATTTCAGCAATACTGATTTCAAATTTTTAATGTGTTCCTCTAAACCATTCGAGAAAATTATAATGTCATCCATGTACACCATACATTCTTTTTTCGATACATTCTTTCTAAGAATGTTATCAACCAATCGTTGAAAAGTGCTCGGTGCATTTTTCAATCCGAATGGCATTCTATTAAATTCATAATGACCATTGTCGACTGAAAATGCAGTCTTAGGTCTATCTTTCTTTTCAACCTCTATTTGATGAAATCCACTTTTAAGATCAATAATAGAAAAATAATTGGATTTCCCTAATTTGTCTAGAATATCAGTTATATTCGGAATTGGGTAATTGTCATCCACCGTTTTATCGTTTAATTTTCTATAATCAATTACGAGTCTATATTTTTTTATTCCAGACGAGTCTGGTTTCTTAGGTACCACCCAAACAGGACTGTTGTAAGGACTAATGCTCGGTGCAATAATACCGTTTTGCAACATTTCTGTTATTTGTCTTTGTATCTCCTCCTTGTGAATGTAGGGATATCTGTATATTTTGCTCCTTATTGGGATTTCGTCTTTAGTGATTATACTATGCCTTATTTCATGAGTAAAGGATAACTTTTTATTATCTGGGAATACTTCATGGAAATCAATAAGGAGTTTCCTTAATTGCTTTTTTTCTTCTAGATTTAAATGTTCGGTTCTGATTTTGTCCATTATAGAGTGTGGGCTAATATTTTCCTTATCAACCTCAATACCCGGAACTTTTCTAAAGTTGTGTATTTCACTAACTTCCTGAATACATAATAATTTATTCATATCTACCAAAAGTTTCTTATCTGTTTTGTTACATATTTTAATTCCGACCTCATTATTCTCACAGGTATATAATCCTTCGTTGATTGTTATATCCTTAGGATTTTTTATTACACTATTTATTAGAATATATGAGTTATAAGAACATGTTGGAATTCTGTAGAGGTGTTCCCCCGGAAATATATTCAATACGACCTTCCTTCGTTCTTCAAAATATAACGGAATTCTTTTCCCATTTAAAATCATGTAATTACTTTCAAAATCTATGACCGCTTTATACTTTCGTAAAATATCATTACCTATTAGACCTTCATACTCATTGTTAAAGTTATATATAAAAAATTCAAAAGTTTCACCTGAAAGTCCAAATTCACTGAAAGCGTTAACAATCGCCTTTTTGGTGACTGTGTGTTCGTTGTTCAATGCATTCATTGTTATTGGGTTTTTTAATTTTACAATTCTTGTTGAATGGAAAACGTTATGGTTGGCTAAGAAATTCGTTGCACCTGTGTCTAATAGGAATTTACATTTTCCTATCATTATGTGGACCAGTCTGTTGAACTGTCCCGTTGAAAATTTTCCACCTCCATCGGAATTGGTCTGTCATTATCCGATTGGTTTGCAACAGGTTGATCATTATTATCATTCCGATGTTGGTTTGCATTTTGATAATATCTACTATTAGTATGATTATATCGATCTCGGCTCGAATAATGGTTATTAGTAAAATTTTTTCCTTGATTTTTGTTAAACTTTTTATTTGATGTTTTATCGGGGTTTGGGTTGTAAAAGGCATAATTGGTATCATATAGAATTTTCATAGCATCCTCGATATTTGCCGGATTCCGACAGATGATTATGGAACGCATTGGTTCTATAAGCTTATTTTTAAATATGTCTAATGCAGTTCTTTTATTGGCGGTTATGATAGCATCATAACCTACCTGATTTTGATATAGGATGCGACTCTTCATATTGAGCCGACTGAGAGTAGACGTAATATCACCATAAAAGTTTTTTGCGTTCGTTTTGAACTTAAGTGACCGCAGTTGATCGTAAAGTTGCTCTATTGATAATCTGTCTCCAAAATTATTTGTTAGCACTGTCTTAAGTGTTGTCCACGACGTCAAATGATTATTAATGTCACTAACGTCTTTGGCTTGACCAACTAGCTTTGACTTTATTATATCCAAAAATATACTCTTGGATACATCGTCGTATGTGTCCAATATTGAAGTTACTCTATCCACAAGATCTATAAATGTATGAAGATTTTTAAAGCTGCCATCAAAAGATGGTAGTTTGGATAAGTATTTTATGGGGTCGATTGTTACTCTATTTTGAGCCATGGTTTTATTTTTTTTTGTTCAATTATTTCTTCTAAATTACACAACTTTGTTTATTACCCTCTTTAAATAATAACTATATTTAAATAAAACTATATAACCTACTCCCAATGGATCCTTTCTTCGCTTCCTTCGGGGCAAGATTTCTGTCACTGCTTCTGTGTTGATTGTTGTCTGGGTGAGTGGTTATCTTTCTTGGGGTTGTATTGCGGGATATGGCGTTGATGCTTCTATTATTCCGTTTGGATAAAGCGATCGCTTGTAAGTTCTTATGCAATTCTTTGTCAAATAAACTTCACGTTTATATTGATATCATATGAATCGCTCTGTTTGAGTTCTTAAGTTCACGTTTATATTAATCATTAGGAAATCACTTCGTTGTCCGAATTCTATACTAAATGAAACTTCACGTTTACATCTGCTTTTTTTAGAATCCGGTATATTTTCTTTGTTCTCATGTGATCCTTTTTTAATTTTAATTAAACTTCACGTTTACATTCATTATTAAAGAGTCACTTCGTTATCCGAATTCATTATAAAACGAAACTTCACGTTCACTTTTTAGAATCCGGTATATTGTATTTGTTCAATTTTGTTTTCGGAATCAATTAATACCGATACTGATACCGATCCTACCGACTGCGCCAGTAATAATTTGTAAAAAATAAAATGCAGTGATCCCGGTTTTGAACTTTATTCCATGAACAATGACTTAAGACTAACTTATAGCTAGAACTTATTTCATATCAATGGTCAAAATGCTTAGCTTGCATTTTGACCATTCTGGATTGGTCTTTAGTTTTATTATAATATTTGTTCTTTGTTCTGCAACATTGTTGCAGGTTTAGGTTTCTTTGTTTGTATTCAACTTGGGTGGCTGTTTTGATCTGTGACATTGTTGTAACAGTGGGTACTGTAGATGTCGGTACTGTAACTCCTAACCTCGGACAAGCAAATGGCCGCTACAGTACATGCTGCTTGAAAGCCAGAAACCATTGCACAATTGTCAGACATCATCGCAAATATGCCAGCATTCCGTTGTCTGTATATTCATCAGTCTATAAATATAGTCTCTTTGCAAATCAGTGGTTTGTCTGGATTCAAACCATTACAAATTATGTGTTTGCAACGGCGAATTACTATTGGAGCTGAAACGTCCCTGTAGGAAAGCTGGGGTTATGTGTCGCCATGCCACCACTTTGTCTACAAGCTTTATTATTCGCCCAATAAGAAGAAAAATTACAGCCGATATAGCCTGCTTCGTATTTTTTCTTCATTTAGTTAATTGTTGTGAATCATATAATTTTGAAGCCTCTGTATAGTGTTAATTGAAAAAGTGTTAAATTAAAGTTCGGGTAATCGAAATTATAAAAAACACAATCAATTTTATATCAATATGGAAATCGTTGGAAGGCAGAAATCATTTGTGGTGAAAGTCGAGAGCTACCATCTGATTACATTTTTTTTCTAAGTGTGCCCGACTTCTGCTTATTTTGTGTATGTATTTATTGTTTTAAAAAGAGAATATGAAATATTTTCAAAGCCAATGATTGGAAGACACGTATATTGCGGCTCGCGTATTAAAGCTATTAACCAGTTTAGCCACACAATTGAAAGAACAGTTTGGATCATATTTTTGAGAGAAAATGTATGAATGAGTATTTCATTCATTTTTCGCGCTATTTAACTTATTTTAAAAATGGAGAAAAATATGAAAAAAATGAAAACAACAAAAATTGGGCTGCATTTCTGTAGTTTTACGAAGCTGTTCCACCTCCTTATTGTACCATGTATTTACCATTGATATTACCCATGGTAGAAATACTAGGTAGCAACATAGGCGAAAATTACAACAAAGCAACTTTTCGCGGCGTACGACGAAATTTTCGCCGGCGCCGTGATTGTGTGCATTTCCATATACACATATGTTTTTTATTTTTGACGACGAACATACGCCGCGAAAAATTCGTCGTTCGCTCCAATTGTGTTCCTAGCATTATACTCAAAGGGGATCTACTTGTTTAAGAGCGCACTATATTTGTTCACGGATAAGTGAACATGTTTTTATAATAAAAGAGAATAGCGGGGCTACCTAGTGTAGATGAGAGGGATTTGTTAAACTGGGATCTTCTTAATACAGTCCACATTAAATAAGATAAGAAAATGTGGTGAGCAGACCTTCGAGTTAGAAATAAATAGTACAAAATTTTCAATTGCTGCATGTGTTATGGTGGAGTTAGATTATGGGATGTAATCTTTACTCAGACTGATAAGCAAGTGCAGCATGTTTGCTTGCCACATGTGAGATAGCTATGCGTGTTAATGACCTCCTCCTAAGATTTATGGTGGCATGGTGCATATGCATGTGTACAGTTGGTATCTATCTCTCTCTCTCTCTCTCTCTTATTTACACGTAATGATAATTTAGGTTAAGTCATATTATCATATCTAGTTCTTAAGAAATATTTTTAATAAATAAATTCAGTGTCTTACAAACGCTCAAACGGAAAAGACTTTGCGTCTTTTTAATGATCCCGGTTTACATTGGTCCATCGAGCCGGATCGGTAGAGGATAAATGTTGAAGAATTTGCCTTAACATCGAGGAAATTCTGTCAGGCTAAAATTGGTCTTCAAGAGTGGAAAATTACCGAGCTAAAACTACAGCTGGAATTGTTCCCATACAGAAGAAATTTATAAGCCAAATAAAAGGATGCTGAGTCAGAAGGAGACTTCAGCACAGAAGACTGTGGTGGCGGTGCACACCGAGGGGGCTTCATATTTGAAATCTTCAGACAGAAGGGGTGATGCATATGCCCAGGAGGACGAATCGGTGAAACGGCCGCCAATGATGAAAATAAAGGAAGAGGCTGCCACTCTTCTCGAAATGATGGGTACAATTATGGAAATAATGAGTACCTTAAAGATGGAAGAAGCCATAGAAGGCGTATTTGACTTCGCCAAAGAAAAAATTATGGACGCGGCAAGATACGTAATATTGTATCCAGGCGTTCATAGGCGATTTTTAGAGATGCTTCTAAAGAAGTCCACACTAGCCGCTGCTATCAGAGCAAGTCAGCCGAATGGGACAGCGAGGCTGTATTTGGAAGATGTTAAGATCATCCTTAAAGTCACGCAGGAACGTCACAACGTTGGGATGTTATTGCTTCATTTATAAATCAACATTCAACTGGGGAAGCTAATATAACGGCCCGCGATGTCCTCAACAAAGCTAAGGCGTTGCAACATAGCGATTTTTCAAAGAACACACTCAAAACACAAGCTAATGCTACGGCTTTTGAAAATTTTGAAAAATCTAAGAAGGAAGTTGTAACGTCTTCAGACATTACTGTCAATACGGAAATATCTTCTGAAATCGCAGGCAATAGTGAATCCAAAGAAAATCAAACTAATGGAAATATTCCGGCCTCCACAGCAGGTAACACAAAATCGTCAAAAACAGCATTAAAGGCGTGGACAAAGGAAGAACAAGCTTTATTGGAACAAGCCATAAAAACGTACCCAATATCAACGCCAGACCGTTGGGATCGGATTGCAGAATGTATTCCTAATAGATCTAAAAAGGATTGCCTACGCAGGGTTAAAGAATTAGTCGAACTTGTGAACTCTAAAAAAGAAGCTCAGCAGTTGGTCAAATGAATTTGAAATTTTGTGAACTTAAGCATCCTAGTTTTAATTAAATAAAATCTTTGGCAATTAAAACAACATCTTATTTTTGTCATTTAAGATATTATTTATTTAATATATGGTCCATTACTAATCCTGTTGGTGATGTAAAACTGCACTGTGATCAACTTTATGTTTGTTGTGAACTCTTTAAATTTCCATTTATTTTAAGATCGAATACTTCCAGGTTGCATAGTGGATCCAGGTCGGCAAACAGCTCAATCCATGTTTTTTGTTTTGCGCTTTTTGTAGAGTTTAAATTATCTGATACAGAAATATTAGTTTTTGTGTCCACTTGTTTTTTTTTAAGTTTATGTGCCATAGATATTTTTGAGCTCCTAGCATTTTGTCCTAATGAATTTATTTGTTTCTGATCGGTTGCTTTGTTGTCATCGCAAAGTTGTGAGCTAAAGTTGTTTTCAATGCCGCATAAATCCAGAAGTCTATCATTATTGCTGAGTTCAATTAAGGGAGTGTGGTTTTGTTCATTGGCATTCGTGCCCTTTTGAATATCCAATTTTTTGGGAATGCTCTCTTCGGTGTTTAAATCTGCATAATCGGACTGTAAAAGATAAAAAAACGGAATTACAATTCAGAATCAAATGTTAGAATTATAATATACTATTCATGATAAAAACGTTTGAGGCACCTTCATAAGTAATGCTTTTTGTAGCTTTTTACAATTGTTCCTACCAAAAAGTACACATTCTAAATGTTCGAACCATTTGTTGACACGATACCAAACATTTGGTTTGGACAAGGATTATTATACCCTCTACCTTGAAAAGGGGGTATATTAACTTTGACATTTCCTTTGTAACATCCCTAAATATTCGTCGCACACCCCATAAAGTATATATTCATATTCAGCATACAATTCTAAGTGAATTTAACGCTATCCGTCTGTCTGTTGAAATCACGATACAGCCCACATTATTCGACGTAGGTGTTGCCGTCATACATTTGGTATTTTGATGATTTTCGCCACATTTTTCACAGATTATATTTGCAGTTCCTAATGGATTCTAGCTCCGGTGGTGGAACATTGAATATCTAGTTTCACGTTTTCCTATATCGCATGTTTAACGGTACCTACCGATATTTGGTATTATGATAATCCTAGCCACATTTACCCAAGAAATTGTTTCAAATTTGGTATTTAAGACTATCAATCCTCATAGTGTAATATTTTTTATATAGGTACTCGTTTTGGTATGTGTTCCATTTAACGGCCTCACTCACATTATATATTTTTAAAAAGATTAACTGCAATTTTCAAACGGTCTTACTGGTATTTGTAGTTTAAAGTGGAACACATTAAAAGGTGTTCTAGCGCAAGCAATTAGCTTTAATGACAATGTTTAAAACAGTTGAAATAAATTGTAAAATTTTATGAAAAATGCAATTTTAATTTTCTCTTAAGCAATCTCTTTGCTCAGCTCTGGCTATAGTGATACATGTGACTACTGGAAAAATCTGTAAAATAAAGCAAGATTCGATTAATCTGGTTGAAATAATTTTAGCAGTTCCACCATCCATCCTTTTTATCTATTTCCATATGATGAAAATATATATTTTTATCTAATGTACAGAAACAGGTGTCTACATAGGTTCTAACATCTTTCATTTTTTTCTTACTACCTGGTGTATTTCATTGGACTTTTAAATAACGTCATTCTACCTGTTCAAAAAAATATGAACGCACACGGCGAATGAATGTACAACATAAAATAAAGTTTTTTTTTTGTATCGATCGCGAACGATTAAAAATACGATGGCTCATATATCTCATAAAAATATGTACAGGGTTGCCCATATTCGACGGACCCATCTGGCAACGCCATAACTTTTGACAGAGATGTCACATCGCTTAATGACATACCGCGTTTGAAGCGTCAGTCCAAGCAGATTTTTACCATGAACCAATACACGCCACGCGAGCGCTCTGAAATAGTTGAAATTTACATTCAACAGAAGAAGTCAATTGTGAAAACTCAACGTGCTTTTAAAACATTAAAAAATGTGAGAAGTGCGCCTTCTAAGAACACCATTAAGCGTTTATACGAACAATTTTCGACTGCTAAGGCTCTATCTAATCCGAAGAGGCCATATAAAAGTCGACCAAGGCGATCGGCCGACAATATCGCTGCCGTACGAGCCAGTGTTGAGAGGTCCCCAAGAACATCCCAACGGTCCACTTTACAACGGATTATTTGCATTGATTTGCATTTGTTCCCGTACAAAATTCAATTGACGCAAAAATGTTGCCTGCGGACAAGCCTCGTCGATTGGAATGGGCCCAAAGGGCCCAAAGGTCCGTCGAATATGGGCAACCCGTAGTGTTTTTGCAGATTTAAGAAGGTTTTTCATAGTATGAATTATTTCTTCTGGCTTAACTCAATTTTGTTATTTGTTGCTGGTATGAAAATTAAAAAAAATTGGAGAATCTAAATCCGTTGAGCCATTCAGAGGCCTACGTTATGGGTTATTTTATATTGGCATTTTTTTAGTTTTTATCCACTGAGAAATAAAAAGCCAAATAATAAGTTTGTAAAAAACTCTGTCTGAAACTCTCGTCAATATAAACTCTAAATGTCAAGTTACACATGATTTGGTTTCAAATTGTAGTCAATACATTAAAAAACACCGAAAATCAGGAAGTAACGCTATAGGGGGCCTTGCCGAAACGTGGACCGATATGTTCCATTTTTAATACAAAACATGCTAGGGATAATATAAATGTATGAGCAAAATTTCAAAGCGATAGAATGCTTCCCTCAATTAACCTCCATTTTTTGGGGATCTGACCCCACTGTGAGACAGTTAGGTAGAGTAGAGCAGTAATTGTGGAGCAATAAATACATTAGAAATATAAAATGAAGTTCAAATTCAAATTTGTGGGTAGATATCTGACTCAATATAAAAAAGTTTTAACTCTTAATTACAAAAATATACTGAAACAAAAAAATATTTTATTAGTATCTTCATAAATTTTTGTCATAAAACAGTAGTCAAATTTAAAATTGGAAATATAAAATTGAATTTTATTGAAGTAAAAAATTTTGATATAACTTCGTATTAAGTTTTACCTTTTTAGGTAAAATGTGTAGCATTGTTTCAATAATCCAAATTAAAAACCAAACATAGTTTTTTATTAGACAAAATGTCAGGCATTTATTTGTACTAAGGATTCACAGCGCAATCGTAAAACAGGTAGAATTAGTTTCTTGTCTTCATTATGTGTATGGCCTTTTACGTTTGTGCAAAATACATTGTACATACTTTTGAGTGCGGTTGAGGAGTTGGGAAAATCTAGCATTACACAATAAATGTTCTAAAATTACATATTTCTTAGCCGTCATAAAATACCACATGCGAACAAGTCGATGATCTTGTGCGATGACGCATACGATAATGTGTGAGATAATAAAGGTTATGACCCACACGCACATCGATGCGCTCAGTAGATGTACAAGACCACTTGAATGAAATGACAAGCTGCCCTGCAATGTTCTCCATTCAATATTAGAAAGATAAGAATAATTGTTTGGCTGCGATTAAGCTAAGTTAGATTAGTTTCAGTAGTTTTTAAGAAACATATTTTTGAATATTTTTTCTTTTTTTTTTGTTTTCTCGCTTACATTTGGTCCTTCGAGCCGGATACAGAATGGAAACTACATCCAAAGAAAAAGGATTGTTCTTTCCTTTTCCACTTTTTATATTTGGTACTTCGAGCCAAATACTAAGAATTGAATCTACGCCCAAGCGAAGCGGTTGTATTCCTTTGTCAGTAAAAATTGCTCTAGTCGAGTCGAATAGAGAATAGAGTTGAAAATTGAAGAGGGAGATTGGATTCTATTCTCATTATTAAAAACATTGATACTTCGAGAAAAAAATTGCAATCAGAAGATGGAAAACAACGATTTATCAACAGCGTCGACTGTCATCATCCAAAATGAAGAAGATCCACAATCCTTGCGTAACAGCACCGTCAGTGTATCAGCCATTTATGCACGTTTGCCATTTCCAAAAATGTGTCATACAAATGTGGAAGCTTGGTTTATTTCAATGGAATTTTGGTTTTGTGCGTCGGGCCTAACCTCGGACAAGCAAATGGCCGCTAAAGTACATGCTGCTTGAAAGCCAGAAACCATTGCACAATTGTCAGACATCATCGCAAATATGCCAGCATTCCGTTGTCTGTATATTCATCAGTCTATAAATATAGTCTCTTTGCAAATCAGTGGTTTGTCTGGATTCAAACCATTACAAATTATGTGTTTGCAACGGCGAATTACTATTGGAGCTGAAACGTCCCTGTAGGAAAGCTGGGGTTATGTGTCGCCATGCCACCACTTTGTCTACAAGCTTTATTATTCGCCCAATAAGAAGAAAAATTACAGCCGATATAGCCTGCTTCGTATTTTTTCTTCATTTAGTTAATTGTTGTGAATCATACAATTTTGAAGCCTCTGTATAGTGTTAATTGAAAAAGTGTTAAATAAAAGTTCGGGTAATCGAAATTATAAAAAACACAATCAATTTTATATCAAAATGGAAATCGTTGGAAGGCAGAAATCATTTGTGGTGAAAGTCGAGAGCTACCAGCTGATTACATTTTTTTTCTAAGTGTGCCCGACTTCTGCTTATTTTGTGTATGTATTTATTGTTTTGAAAAAAGAAAATGAAATATTTTCAAAGCCAATGATTGGAAGACACGTATATTGCGGCTCGCGTATTAAAGCTATTAACCAGTTTAGCCACACAATTGAAAGAACAGTTTGGATCATATTTTTGAGAGAAAATGTATGAATGAGTATTTCATTCATTTTTCGCGCTATTTAACTTATTTTAAAAATGGAGAAAAATATGAAAAAAATGAAAACAACAAAAATTGGGCTGCATTTCTGTAGTTTTACGAAGCTGTTCCACCTCCTTATTGTACCATGTATTTACCATTGATATTACCCATGGTAGAAATACTAGGTAGCAACATAGGCGAAAATTACAACAAAGCAACTTTTCTGGAAATTTCATGTGTCAAAATTGTAAGCAAGGCGAATTCAATTGACAAACATAATTGGGGGGAAAATTGCTTTGCATCAATCAGAACATTTTATTTTGAGACATTGAATAACTTTGTTTTAGTTCAATGAAATTAAAAAAAAAAAAAATAAAATTTTGCAAGAACATTTTGTTTCGGTGTGAACTGGTAATTTGATCGTAGATTTCTAAACATTAAAGATTCCTACAAAACATCAAATCCTTGATTATTCAAGAGCCTTTCCGGGTGTCAAATCATGGATGGAAGAAAAATTCCGGGTCTCAGTTGGTGAAGTTTAAAGAATATCCTCGGGTATCAAATTGTGGCTATTTTTAGAATGACTGCGGTTCTTAAATAACAGATTTTTAAAACATATCTGCGGATCAATTCGTGTTTTTTGAATAATTTCTCCAGTGTATAATCGTGAAGCTGTTATGATTTACTTTAGCCCTCAACATTATCAATAAATGCCCATTCGGAATATTATAAGGGTTCTTTTTAAAATTGGTTTGCAATTTCAATTTTTAAGGATAGAGAAGAAATCTTATAATGGTGAATATTAGGAAATAGACAAGAACTATATTTGTACTAACTGCCTCTAGATATGGATAAAGGGAATTGCTTGGTGATTTTTATGTGTGTGACTCGTTACAACACTCATGAATGCATTTATACAAATGTTAACTTAAGGAAGGTATTGGGCTTAGCTTGTCCTCCAATATACGTTCTTTTACAAACCATATAATACCTCAAAATTTACTATTCCAAAATTTTCAATGTTAATAATTATTTGCGTTCTTTTTTCTCTTTGTGTATATGTAGGGAGAATTGGAATTACATGAATTTGTTTGACATATCAAGTTGCCTACAGCTGGCCTGATAGGGCTACCTTGTAATTCTACCATGATATTACCTATAGGAAAGTTGTAAATATGACGAAAGAATAGATTTGCCGTAACATTTTAGAATTTCGGCAAATTAAATTAAACGAATTTAAGCAATAATTAAATTGTTTTGTAAATACAGCCAATTTGGATTATCCGTCATGGCCGGAAAGGGAGGTATTATGGATAATCGATTGTTTCTAATAAGCAAAATGTGTCAGTAAATTGAAATACTTTTCCATATATTCTGGGAGAAGGCTTTCATGAATATGCACAATCACTTACAAACATATGAGGACAGTTTGGGACAAGACTTTAAAGATCTAGTTATATCAAAAAAAAGGATTTTTGCATCAAAATACGACGAATACAACAAATTAATGCTGGATGATATCGACGGCCTAGAAAAATTCATTCACAACAGAGATGACCGAGGATTATGCTAGGAACACAATTGGAGCGAACGACGAATTTCGCCCTACGCGGCGACAAAATGAGCCGCGTAAATTCGTCGTATGGAACACAATACCGACGAAATTATAAAACAGCTGATGAAGTTGTGTACTTTTTGCTCATTTGTTGACTACAATAAATCAGAGAATTGTAAAGTTTATTAAAATTGTTAAAATAATTAACATAATGTATATTATAGTAAAAGCTTATCTGCTTGTGCGAAAACGTTTACGGAGAAGATAGTGGGTACGGCCAGTGAACATTAAAAGTAAATTAATTATGTTTTTTCTTTATACGAGTAACAGATAGTAGAGTGACCATAACAAATTTTAAAGTAAAAAGTAACTTTATTTACTAAAACACATAAAATTCGTACAAGTATGGCCACCTTGTACTGTTTTGTTCGCCGGCGTATGAAATATAAATAAAGCTAATTGAGTTCGCGGCGTACGACGAAATTTTCGCCGGCGCCGTGATTGTGTGCATTTCCATATACACATATGTTTTTTATTTTTGACGACGAACATACGCCGCGAAAAATTCGTCGTTCGCTCCAATTGTGTTCCTAGCATTATACTCAAAGGGAATCTACTTGTTTAAGAGCGCACTATATTTGTTCACGGATAAGTGAACATGTTTTTATAATAAAAGAGAATAGCGGGGCTACCTAGTGTAGATGAGAGGGATTTGTTAAACTGGGATCTTCTTAATACAGTCCACATTAAATAAGATAAGAAAATGTGGTGAGCAGACCTTCGAGTTAGAAATAAATAGTACAGAATTTTCAATTGCTGCATGTGTTATGGTGGAGTTAGATTATGGGATGTAATCTTTACTCAGACTGATAAGCAAGTGCAGCATGTTTGCTTGCCACATGTGAGATAGCTATGCGTGTTTATGACCTCCTCCTAAGATTTATGGTGGCATGGTGCATATGCATGTGTACAGTTGGTATCTATCTCTCTCTCTCTCTCTTATTTACACGTAATGATAATTTAGGTCAGCGGTGCTCAAAACCGTGTTCTAGAACATGAACAGAAAAATAAGATAATTTAAGAGAAAATTAAAAATCTGTTTTTCTTTATATCTTACGATTCAATTTAATTATTTTTAACATGAATGTTTGCCTAAATAATTTATAAAGCAAATGGATAAAAAATATTTGTATAAATAATGACTTAACACTGTTTTGTTCTTGATTTAAATAAGCAAAGAGAAATTTGACTGAAAAGAGATATTTCTTTTTGAGCACCCCTGATTTAGGTTAAGTCATATTATCATATCTATTTCTTAAGAAATATTTTTAATAAATAAATTCAGTGTCTTACAAATGCTCAAACGGAAAAGACTTTGCGTCTTTTTAATGATCCCGGTTTACATTGGTCCATCGAGCCGGATCGGTAGAGGATAAATGTTGAAGAATTTGCCTTAACATCGAGGAAATTCTGTCAGGCTAAAATTGGTCTTCAAGAGTGGAAAATTACCGAGCTAAAACTACAGCTGGAATTGTTCCCATACAGAAGAAATTTATAAGCCAAATAAAAGGATGCTGAGTCAGAAGGAGACTTCAGCACAGAAGACTGTGGTGGCGGTGCACACCGAGGGGGCTTCATATTTGAAATCTTCAGACAGAAGGGGTGATGCATATGCCCAGGAGGACGAATCGGTGAAACGGCCGCCAATGATGAAAATAAAGGAAGAGGCTGCCACTCTTCTCGAAATGATGGGTACAATTATGGAAATAATGAGTACCTTAAAGATGGAAGAAGCCATAGAAGGCGTATTTGACTTCGCCAAAGAAAAAATTATGGACGCGGCAAGATACGTAATATTGTATCCAGGCGTTCATAGGCGATTTTTAGAGATGCTTCTAAAGAAGTCCACACTAGCCGCTGCTATCAGAGCAAGTCAGCCGAATGGGACAGCGAGGCTGTATTTGGAAGATGTTAAGATCATCCTTAAAGTCACGCAGGAACGTCACAACGTTGGGATGTTATTGCTTCATTTATAAATCAACATTCAACTGGGGAAGCTAATATAACGGCCCGCGATGTCCTCAACAAAGCTAAGGCGTTGCAACATAGCGATTTTTCAAAGAACACACTCAAAACACAAGCTAATGCTACGGCTTTTGAAAATTTTGAAAAATCTAAGAAAGAAGTTGTAACGTCTTCAGACATTACTGTCAATACGGAAATATCTTCTGAAATCGCAGGCAATAGTGAATCCAAAGAAAATCAAACTAATGGAAATATTCCGGCCTCCACAGCAGGTAACACAAAATCGTCAAAAACAGCATTAAAGGCGTGGACAAAGGAAGAACAAGCTTTATTGGAACAAGCCATAAAAACGTACCCAATATCAACGCCAGACCGTTGGGATCGGATTGGAGAATGTATTCCTAATAGATCTAAAAAGGATTGCCTACGCAGGGTTAAAGAATTAGTCGAACTTGTGAACTCTAAAAAAGAAGCTCAGCAGTTGGTCAAATGAATTTGAAATTTTGTGAACTTAAGCATCCTAGTTTTAATTAAATAAAATCTTTGGCAATTAAAAACAACATCTTATTTTTGTCATTTAAGATATTATTTATTTAATATATGGTCCATTACTAATCCTGTTGGTGATGTAAAACTGCACTGTGATCAACTTTATGTTTGTTGTGAACTCTTTAAATTTCCATTTATTTTAAGATCGAATACTTCCAGGTTGCATAGTGGATCCAGGTCGGCAAACAGCTCAATCCATGTTTTTTGTTTTGCGCTTTTTGTAGAGTTTAAATTATCTGATACAGAAATATTAGTTTTTGTGTCCACTTGTTTTTTTTTAAGTTTATGTGCCATAGATATTTTTGAGCTCCTAGCATTTTGTCCTAATGAATTTATTTGTTTCTGATCGGTTGCTTTGTTGTCATCGCAAAGTTGTGAGCTAAAGTTGTTTTCAATGCCGCATAAATCCAGAAGTCTATCATTATTGCTGAGTTCAATTAAGGGAGTGTGGTTTTGTTCATTGGCATTCGTGCCCTTTTGAATATCCAATTTTTTGGGAATGCTCTCTTCGGTGTTTAAATCTGCATAATCGGACTGTAAAAGATAAAAAAACGGAATTACAATTCAGAATCAAATGTTAGAATTATAATATACTATTCATGATAAAAACGTTTGAGGCACCTTCATAAGTAATGCTTTTTGTAGCTTTTTACAATTGTTCCTACCAAAAAGTACACATTCTAAATGTTCGAACCATTTGTTGACACGATACCAAACATTTGGTTTGGACAAGGATTATTATACCCTCTACCTTGAAAAGGGGGTATATTAACTTTGACATTTCCTTTGTAACATCCCTAAATATTCGTCGCACACCCCATAAAGTATATATTCATATTCAGCATACAATTCTAAGTGAATTTAACGCTATCCGTCTGTCTGTTGAAATCACGATACAGCCCACATTATTCGACGTAGGTGTTGCCGTCATACATTTGGTATTTTGATGATTTTCGCCACATTTTTCACAGATTATATTTGCAGTTCCTAATGGATTCTAGCTCCGGTGGTGGAACATTGAATATCTAGTTTCACGTTTTCCTATATCGCATGTTTAACGGTACCTACCGATATTTGGTATTATGATAATCCTAGCCACATTTACCCAAGAAATTGTTTCAAATTTGATATTTAAGACTATCAATCCTCATAGTGTAATATTTTTTATATAGGTACTCGTTTTGGTATGTGTTCCATTTAACGGCCTCACTCACATTATATATTTTTAAAAAGATTAACTGCAATTTTCAAACGGTCTTACTGGTATTTGTAGTTTAAAGTGGAACACATTAAAAGGTGTTCTAGCGCAAGCAATTAGCTTTAATGACAATGTTTAAAACAGTTGAAATAAATTGTAAAATTTTATGAAAAATGCAATTTTAATTTTCTCTTAAGCAATCTCTTTGCTCAGCTCTGGCTATAGTGATACATGTGACTACTGGAAAAATCTGTAAAATAAAGCAAGATTCGATTAATCTGGTTGAAATAATTTTAGCAGTTCCACCATCCATCCTTTTTATCTATTTCCATATGATGAAAATATATATTTTTATCTAATGTACAGAAACAGGTGTCTACATAGGTTCTAACATCTTTCATTTTTTTCTTACTACCTGGTGTATTTCATTGGACTTTTAAATAACGTCATTCTACCTGTTCAAAAAAATATGAACGCACACGGCGAATGAATGTACAACATAAAATAAAGTTTTTTTTTTGTATCGATCGCGAACGATTAAAAATACGATGGCTCATATATCTCATAAAAATATGTACAGGGTTGCCCATATTCGACGGACCCATCTGGCAACGCCATAACTTTTGACAGAGATGTCACATCGCTTAATGACATACCGCGTTTGAAGCGTCAGTCCAAGCAGATTTTTACCATGAACCAATACACGCCACGCGAGCGCTCTGAAATAGTTGAAATTTACATTCAACAGAAGAAGTCAATTTTGAAAACTCAATGTGCTTTTAAAACATTAAAAAATGTGAGAAGTGCGCCTTCTAAGAACACCATTAAGCGTTTATACGAACAATTTTCGACTGCTAAGGCTCTATCTAATCCGAAGAGGCCATATAAAAGTCGACCAAGGCGATCGGCCGACAATATCGCTGCCGTACGAGCCAGTGTTGAGAGGTCCCCAAGAACATCCCAACGGTCCACTTTACAACGGATTATTTGCATTGATTTGCATTTGTTCCCGTACAAAATTCAATTGACGCAAAAATGTTGCCTGCGGACAAGCCTCGTCGATTGGAATGGGCCCAAAGGGCCCAAAGGTCCGTCGAATATGGGCAACCCGTAGTGTTTTTGCAGATTTAAGAAGGTTTTTCATAGTATGAATTATTTCTTCTGGCTTAACTCAATTTTGTTATTTGTTGCTGGTATGAAAATTAAAAAAAATTGGAGAATCTAAATCCGTTGAGCCATACAGAGGCCTACGTTATGGGTTATTTTATATTGGCATTTTTTTAGTTTTTATCCACTGAGAAATAAAAAGCCAAATAATAAGTTTGTAAAAAACTCTCTGAAATTCTCGTCAATATAAACTCTAAATGTCAAGTTACACATGATTTGGTTTCAAATTGTAGTCAATACATTAAAAAACACCGAAAATCAGGAAGTAACGCTATAGGGGGCCTTGCCGAAACGTGGACCGATATGTTCCATTTTTAATACAAAACATGCTAGGCATAATATAAATGTATGAGCAAAATTTCAAAGCGATAGAATGCTTCCCTCAATTAACCTCCATTTTTTGGGGATCTGACCCCACTGTGAGACAGTTAGGTAGAGTAGAGCAGTAATTGTGGAGCAATAAATACATTAGAAATATAAAATGAAGTTCAAATTCAAATTTGTGGGTAGATATCTGACTCAATATAAAAAAGTTTTAACTCTTAATTACAAAAATATACTGAAACAAAATATATTTTATTAGTATCTTCATAAATTTTTGTCATAAAACAGTAGTCAAATTTAAAATTGGAAATATAAAATTGAATTTTATTGAAGTAAAAAATTTTGATATAACTTCGTATTAAGTTTTACCTTTTTAGGTAAAATGTATAGCATTGTTTCAATAATCCAAATTAAAAACCAAACATAGTTTTTTATTAGACAAAATGTCAGGGCATTTATTTGTACTAAGGATTCACAGCGCAATCGTAAAACAGGTAGAATTGGTTTCTTGTCTTCATTATGTGTATGGCCTTTTACGTTTGTGCAAAATACATTGTACATACTTTTGAGTGCGGTTGAGGAGTTGGGAAAATCTAGCATTACACAATAAATGTTCTAAAATTACATATTTCTTAGCCGTCATAAAATACCACATGCGAACAAGTCGATGATCTTGTGCGATGACGCATACGATAATGTGTGAGATAATAAAGGTTATGACCCACACGCACATCGATGCGCTCCGTAGATGTACAAGACCACTTGAATGAAATGACAAGCTGCCCTGCAATGTTCTCCATTCAATATTAGAAAGATAAGAATAATTGTTTGGCTGCGATTAAGCTAAGTTAGATTAGTTTCAGTAGTTTTTAAGAAACATATTTTTGAATATTTTTTCTTTTTTTTTCTTTTCTCGCTTACATTTGGTCCTTCGAGCCGGATACAGAATGGAAACTACATACAAAGAAAAAGGATTGTCCTTTCCTTTTTCACATTTTATATTTGGTACTTCGAGCCAAATACTAAGAATTGAATCTACGCCCAAGCGAAGCGGTTGTATTCCTTTGTCAGTAAAAATTGCTCTAGTCGAGTCGAATAGAGAATAGAGTTGAAAATTGAAGAGGGAGATTGGATTCTATTCTCATTATTAAAAACATTGATACTTCGAGAAAAAAATTGCAATCAGAAGATGGAAAACAACGATTTATCAACAGCGTCGACTGTCATCATCCAAAATGAAGAAGATCCACAATCCTTGCGTAACAGCACCGTCAGTGTATCAGCCATTTATGCACGTTTTCCATTTCCAAAAATGTGTCATACAAATGTGGAAGCAAGGTTTATTTCAATGGAATTTTGGTTTTGTGCGTCGGGCCTAACCTCGGACAAGCAAATGGCCGCTACAGTACATGCTGCTTGAAAGCCAGAAACCATTGCACAATTGTCAGACATCATCGCAAATATGCCAGCATTCCGTTGTCTGTATATTCATCTCTTTGCAAATCAGTGGTTTGTCTGGATTCAAACCATTACAAATGATGTGTTTGAAACGGCGAATTACTATTGGAGCTGAAACGTCCCTGTAGGAAAGCTGGGGTTATGTGTCGCCATGCCACCACTTTGTCTACAAGCTTTATTATTCGCCCAATAAGAAGAAAAATTACAGCCGATATAGCCTGCTTCGTATTTTTTCTTCATTTAGTTAATTGTTGTGAATCATATAATTTTGAAGCCTCTGTATAGTGTTAATTGAAAAAGTGTTAAATAAAAGTTCGGGTAATCGAAATTATAAAAAACACAATCAATTTTATATCAAAATGGAAATCGTTGGAAGGCAGAAATCATTTGTGGTGAAAGTCGAGAGCTACCAGCTGATTACATTTTTTTTCTAAGTGTGCCCGACTTCTGCTTATTTTGTGTATGTATTTATTGTTTTGAAAAAAGAAAATGAAATATTTTCAAAGCCAATGATTGGAAGACACGTATATTGCGGCTCGCGTATTAAAGCTATTAACCAGTTTAGCCACACAATTGAAAGAACAGTTTGGATCATATTTTTGAGAGAAAATGTATGAATGAGTATTTCATTCATTTTTCGCGCTATTTAACTTATTTTAAAAATGGAGAAAAATATGAAAAAAATGAAAACAACAAAAATTGGGCTGCATTTCTGTAGTTTTACGAAGCTGTTCCACCTCCTTATTGTACCATGTATTTACCATTGATATTACCCATGGTAGAAATACTAGGTAGCATTATAGGCGAAAATTACAACAAAGCAACTTTTCTGGAAATTTCATATGTCAAAATTGTAAGCAAGGCGAATTCAATTGACAAACATAATTGGGGGGAAAATTGTTTTGCATCAATCAGAACATTTTATTTTGAGACATTGAATAACTTTGTTTTAGTTCATTGATATTAAAAAAAAAAAATAAAATTTTGCAAGAACATTTTGTTTCGGTGTGAACTGGTAATTTGATCGTAGATTTCTAAACATTAAAGATTCCTACAAAACATCAAATCCTTGATTATTCAAGAGCCTTTCCGGGTGTCAAATCATGGATGGAAGAAAAATTCCGGGTCTCAATTGGTGAAGTTTAAAGAATATCCTCGGGTCTCAAATTGTGGCTATTTTTAGAATGACTGCGGTTCTTAAATAACAGATTTTTAAAACATATCTGCGGATCAATTCGTGTTTTTTGAATAATTTCTCCAGTGTATAATCGTGAAGCTGTTATGATTTACTTTAGCCCTCAACATTATCAATAAATGCTTATTCGGAATATTATAAGGGTTCTTTTTAAAATTGGTTTGCAATTTCAATTTTTAAGGATAGAGAAGA